GGCTCACTTGAAATTTCAGTTCTATCATTTAACTTGAGAGTAGACGCTCTCCTCAGCGGGCTCTCGCTTCTTTCTTCCTCGCGTTTTTCTTTCAGAGAAATTTAGTGCAGCATAGTTTAGTTCTTCATCAGCTTCGGTCTGCATTGTAAGTACAACAGACAAAACAAATGTTTCTTAATCTGGTTTAGATGGTTATACTAACTTTTCAGACATTTTAACTAAACACCAATATTTTTTATTACTTACCGGTTGGCGTAAGGCGTCATTTTGTGCTTCAGTTATTGCACTTTCTGCTATAAACATGAGATCATAGTAACAAATACATATTACTAAAATGCACTTAATATGCAGTTTCCTTCTGAATTTGTTATAACCATAAAATTCACTGATAGAAATAAGTTTTCCAATAATTAACAGGAAAAATAACCACCATGGAGTGTTAATAATATTTGCAGTGCATACAATGACTGTCTCCCCCATGGATTTATTTTACATAAATGATTAGTCTTTAAATTATTTAAGTGTAATTGGATAATTTTAGATACCTGTAGCTCTTACCTTTAATTGGTGTACATGTTCTTTGTTTGCAAACAAGGAAAATATTCCCAGAGACAGAAATGACCAAACAGACTATTGAGGCTATTTGAAGAAACTCAATTTTTTTTGGCTTGCTCTATAAAAAACAAACAAAATAATATGTTCTCAGAATGTCTCATCTTTCGTATTTTAACATATTTGAAGTATAGACACCAGTACTGAACACAAAATCATACCAAGTTCGAGTGTCGTCCCATTTCCAAATAATATCTCCCCACATGCGGCCACAGCGCAGTAGTAAGTCCCTCCATCAGAGGAGCTGACGTTCTTAGAGAAGCGATAAACACATGCCCTCTGAGTATCAGATCTTTTCTCACATTCATTATGTGTATTTACGTTAGCGTAAATGACAGGATGAGATTCATGAGATCTGTCTCTGAACCAAACAACTCTGAGACCTCCTGGACACGTCTTGTTGACAGAGTGAGAGACTGAACACTGGAAAGTCACTGTGTCTCCTGGATGGAGTGGATTTGATCCTTTCAGCTGTTGAACAACTACTGATGTTTTCTGATTGTTTCCTGGGGAATAAAAAAGACATTACGCTGTCATAGTAGCTTACAAATATTGTAAATGAGTGTTACGTTCCCCTAAAAAGGTTCAGGGGATGAGGGGAATGTAACAAAATGTGTCCAGGTCGAAAAAAGGAGACAGAAAGACAAAATAGTTTTATTAAAGCTTATATTAAGGATGTACACTTACCTTTTACAAACAAATATGTGCCACTCCAGTTAGTCCTAATCCACTCTGTGAGTCCACAGTGATAGATTCCCTCGTCCTCTTGGACGGTCTTCAAAATAGTCACATTGCTGAAATTGTTATCATTATGTTCCTCAAATCTTGATTTAGAAAATGCAGGACCATATTCCGCTGGTGTAGATTTAAACGATGTCATAATTAACTTTAGGGTATCCCCGTGATTCTGCTTGTACCAGTGGACTTCTCCACTCTGGAGCCCTTTGGGTAAAGCACATGTTAAGGTCACTGGTTCACCAAGTTGAACTGTTTTCACTGAAACCAGAGAATCTGAAAGAAGAAAAATGGAAAAAGCTTTTTCTTGCAACAATCAATGCACGCAAATTTTTCCACATAACAAAAATCCCCTTACATCCTTGCTGAAGAACAAACAATGTCATCCATAAGACGATCATCTTGACACTGCCCCTCGCTCAGGACTTCACTGGTGTTTTAGTGAGTGAAAGAGGGGGCATGATTGTATTAGGTCAGACGCTAAAATGTATCTGATTGGTTAACACTGAAAAGACTTAAAAATACACTTCCTGTCACATTGGTCTCATCCTGGGCTTTGTAAAGCATATCACCTCGCTTTCAACTGTTCAGATGTACAGAAATGCATCACATTTTACATTTCAGATTATATGTTGCTTTACAAAAGGGGACAAAGAACAAGCAGAGTCCTTTTTCCAATTAATGTGGCAAAGTTCGTGGCAAAAGATTCAGCAGTCGCATTAAATATCACCCAGGTTTACCCCATGGTGGAGCTAGAGGTAAAGACAGGGTAATGGCAACTGCAACATTTTAGCTGTCCTCAATTAAATTAGAAAGACTTCTTTCACATCAGCTGGATCCAGAAAACCTAAAAGCCAATGGTACTGTTGCATCATGTGTCATGATAGTAGCCATGAAATCAAATCATAATTTGTCAAGACAGTTTGTCTTAATAGGGCACTGACCAAACCCTCTTTCAAATGTGCACCATATAAACTTCCTCTGAACTGAAATACAGGGATAGAGGTCAGAGGTCATAGAGAGAAATGGGAAATAGGAAAAAAAACACAAACAGAAAGGATTTCTGAATCTTTTAATCTTTAAGATCTTTGAGATCTTTAAGAGCTTTGAGATCTCAAATTAAAGTTAAAGTTAAAAATTAAATTAAATTCATCTATTTTCTACTGTTTATAAATCGTGTCAGGAATCTATCTTATATACAATGTTCCCAGAACACCTCACCGAAAAGGTGTCAAAGGTGCATCAGTGTCAGATACCTGCATCTCCAGCTGTTTCCTTTGATTCTGAACTTTTCAAAAAATTGATCAAAGTGTGTTTGAGGTTTGACAAAGTTGCTATCAGCAAAGGCTTACCAGCAAACCTCCCACAGAGCCTTTCCTCCTTGTTATCTATGCAAAGCGTAAACAACAAAAGCACAGAAGTTAAGCTGGCTCAAAACTCAAGCATAAAATCAGAAAATGCATATTTCCTTTCACTGGATATGCTCCCTTTCTTTTAAATCCCAACTTTTGTAATAAAGTTTCACCAGTAGTTTTTGTTCCTATGACCTGCGTGATGCAACATCGCTTGCACTTTCCCATGCTGCCGAGCTCATTGCTGAAATCACTGGTCTAGTCCAATCATCTTTCTGCATCATCTTTCTGCTCATCTCTGAGTTCTCACTGCTGGGATCGTCAAATACCTGGGTTGACTGAATACTGTACTCTCTATGATAAATGCTTCAATTTCACATGAATTATTGATAAATTGATGTATCTATTTTTGCTGATGACACTCTGATGACTCATCATAGCAGAAGGAAATTCCAGCGGCAATAACATTTAGTACAGGACCCGCTGATTCTAGATGTTAGTGGTGGTGTAGTTAAAGACAGAGGTTTGGATGGAACTTTGAGTGAGACGGGTGAGGCGGGTTTCACAAATGAGAGTCTTAGAGGTAGAATGACCACTAGTGGTGTGCAGATCGATACTGAAATATCGATTCTTCCGATACCAGTAATTTATGTTCTAGAATCGATTCTCATATTAAAATATCGATATTTTAGTACTTTGGGGTAAATTTGTAGTTTTTCATTAACAGGAACACAGTGGAAAGAAACTATCATTCAGATCGTCTAAATTGGAAGGAACTACTTCCTCTTCTGCCTTTCACAGTCATATGTGAAATACGGCTGTATAAATGTGTCGCAGCCCCTGGCGTGCGCACTCACAACAATGGCTGAGCGTAAACGGAGTCATGTGGGGACGTATTTTACCTCCACAAACAGCTGAGACATGGTTTGCAATGCATGTGGCAAAACAGTGAGGTGTTGTGGCATCAAATTTCGTCAAACACCTCACAGTAAATCACAGAATATGACGAGCGTATGTTGAGACAGAAGAGGAGGAGAGGGACAGCTGCTGCTAGGGCGAGACAGATGTCTCTCACTGAGTCCTTTGGTGCTGCAGGCAGGCAACATGCTCAAATAGCCACAACTTCAGGTTTTTTATTTCTATATGATTATTCTGCATTATTAAGCAATAAGAACAGGTAGTCTGATGTCCTGTAATCATTATGAAGCTTTATTATTATATTATTATTACAATTTCATAATACAATTACATATTGTATTATAAACATTAAGTTTTTGTACAGAGTATCGGTATCGGATCAGTATCGTCGATTTACCCTGAATTTTACTTGGTATCGGATCGGAAAGGAAATCAGTGGTATCACACATCACTAATGACCACAGTTTAAAGGATGCAAAGTGGCTGATTGGCTCAAAGAAGGCCAACAAGGAGATGATTGGACTAGTGTAATTATGTCACTATTGATTTTGACACTGTGGGAAAGTAGAGATGTAAAGAACAGAATACCAGCTGAATACTGAGGAAACAGGCAGATGAGTGATAACGGATTGTCCTTATTAAACTAAGAACAAACATAATCAATAGACTAACAAATTTTGGTAGACTAACCTTTACATAGTTTTCAGTGCTAGAAGTTGTATTTTCCTTTCCTACAAGTTTTTTTTCTTTAATTCAAACTACAAAATTTGTGGGTTGTGTCCTTCTAGTATTGCTCTGGAAGGACACGGCCTTGGTGGTGCTGTTCATCTATTGTTCCCCGGCCACTGAGAGTACACCTTTGATGATTCCATGAAGTAAAGCTGCTATATTGCTTCAAGCTGCTGGTCAATGCTGTGAGTCTTTGCTTGGAAGTTTCCAAGTTTCCTCAGGTACAATGTAGATTGACAGTAAATTGACAAACTTTACTTTTATGGTTTGCTTGGTCTCTGACTGCTGGCTCACTTACTTACCTAAAAGTCGAATGGGAATCAGCCTTTAGCTTTCATGCCCTGTTTTTGTTAAACAAGCCTCCTGATTCAAGAGACAGACTTCAC